GGTAAAATTGTCAAGGTTCAAAAGGTAAAGTCTGAGGACCAGTAATGATTCCTCTTTCTTCAGCAACTGGTGGCTTCTAAAGTTTGCTAAAAGAGGAAGCAAACATTTAAGAAAGAAAAATAAATACGGACTTGGCTTTTGGAACTAGTGAGAAACAGCCTTTGGTGCTGGGAGGCTAATTGCTTGGTTCCCAGGATTTCTATCCGCCTGCGGAGGAATGAGGGACCTTTGTTTCTGGTTATTTCTGTGTGGATGCTCACGCCAGTACCTGTTTCAGTCATAATCCTTCCCAGAGCCACCAGCACAGTGTTGATATTCCACAGAAATAATCTTCCCTCAATAAAGCTATTCACTCCATATGAAGGTCAAGTTATCTCAGCTCTGAGTAAGTACAAAGAAGGGCTAACTTATAAAACAGAATGCTTCTCCGAATTTGCATAAGCCTCCTTTGTCTTCTACAAATTATCCCTTGTTAAATGAAGGTGGTGTTTAAAGGCTAATTATATTTATCAAACGAACTGACTCCATCTCTTTTGGACTAATCGCATATTCCCTAGGCATTTTTTCCCTCCCTGACATCACGGAGGTAAACACAAAGCAAGATCTATGCAAATTGATTCTCATTATCAACTTAGTGGTTTCATTTTTAACCTAGAGATTGACTTCTGCATAGAAATTGTTATTCAGCTATCCAGACATTTTGCTGAAGGGAACACATGGTGAATTTTCAAACACTCTATGAAATAAAAGCATTACACACGGATGGCTATTGTCCTCCTAAAACAACACAAAGCCAAGTCCTTCCTAGAGGGTGACACTGGTGGGCGACTGACTGCTGAGAACCAGAAAAACGTTTCTATGAAACTCCAGCTTCAGATAAGAGAGCTGATTCCTAGAAAATGGAAACCAAAGAGGAAATGAGGAATATGACTCTCAGGGAATTCGTGACCAACAGCGTGTGTGTCTGTTTCTTAATTCAGATCCTGGGTAACTATGTGTGTACCTGATTTTTTGTTTGTTTGTTTTAGTGATGGTTTAAAATAGCCTCAGATCCAGGCAGGTGACCCAAGGCTATATATAATTCCAGCACTCAAGAGACTGAAGTAAAATCATCAAAAGGTTCATTCTAGCCTGAGCTATTTGTTTGAGGCCAATCTAGAGGGAAACTGTGTTTCAAAACCAAGCAACCCCCCAAGAGGTGACAAAGTGGCAAAATTTTGCAAATCAGTGAAATATGAAAGTATATTTCCAAATAATAAAATCTTCACCCTGTCATGAGCCATTTCCCCCCTAAAAATCATTACAGGAACCATCACCCTGGGGAGTCTGCAGGGAACCTCACACCCATAATTATGGTCTATTGACAGAACCTGCCCCACACCCAATTAACTGTTATCTGTTATGGCTCCCTTGGCCCATAGGGAGGGGCACTATTAGGAGATGTGGCCTTCTTGGAGGAAGTGTGTTACTGTGGGGGCAGGCTTTGAGGTCTCTTATATGCTCAAGTTAGGCCCAGTGTGACACACATTCTCCTGCCGCCTTTGGATCAAGATGTAGAACTCTCAGCTCCTTCTCCAGCACCATGTCTGCCTGAATGTCGCCATGCCTTCTGCCATGATGATGATGATGCCCTAAAGCTCTGAAACTGTACACCAGCCCAGTTACATGTTTTCCTTTATAAGAGTTGCTGTGGTCATGGTGCTTCTTCATAGCCATAGAAACCCCCTAACTAAGACACAGATTTTTAAAAAGAAGAATTAACTTACCTATGAAATGGAAAGAACGTTGTTAATAATATCTATTTAAAATTGAGCGGAAGTCACATATCCTCAAAGAAAGTATTAAGTTTTAAGTGTTGTGATCCAATCATTCCACATTCCCTCCTTTCTAATTCCTCCCCATCCCTTTATCACTTTGTCTTCTCAGTTTCAGGCACTCTCACTATTTTCACCCACTCATCTACTTCAGTGCTGGCTTGACATACATGAGCAATGATCTCCTGAAGCCTCTCAGGGGCTGTGTCCCTGAAGAAAATGGATACCCCTTCCCTCACCAGCCACCAATTGCCAATGGCTCTATAGGTAGGGGAGGGACTTCACAAACCCTCCCCCTATCCATGTTGGGATTTTGGTTGATCAAATCAAGAATTTTTAAATTCTGTTCTTTCATTGCTGTGAAGGCTTGGGCCCAGGTATAAATTTGGTTAGAAAGGCTAAGCATAAAATTTTAGAAAAAAAAAAAAGATTAACTGATTAGTGTGTGTATGTATGTGTGTCTGTGTGTGCACATGTGTACACATGTGTGTGCAGATGCTTGGAGATCAGAAGGTGGTGGGAGAAATCTCCATCACTCTCTGCCTCCTGTTCCATGGAGCCAGGTTCTCCCCCGAATGCGAGGCTTGCGACTGGGGCAGGTTGAAAGCCATAGGCACCAGCATCTTCTCAGAACTGTGGTTACAGGCTTGTTCTGGGAGGTCAGGCTTTTTACGTGTGCTGAGATTCAAGCTCTGGCCTCATGGTTGAGCAGCAAGTGCCCTTAACTGCTGAACCATCTCTCCAGTCCCAAGAATGGCTTTAATAGAGAGTCATTTGAGTGGGTCTTACATACCTGAAGCCCCTCTTCAGGTTCTTTTTAGTACTTGAAGTTAAACTCAGGGCCTTGTGCAGGCCAGGTAAGCACCCTACCACTGAACTACACCCCCACTCAGGAGCTCAGAGTCCTGACGGGTTGTCCTCTTTGAGTAATCCCAATGCATGCATTTTATTGAACTTATTGTGAACATAAACTGATGAGGGCTCACGAGAAGCAGAGATATTGTTTTATCATTCACTATCCAGGTTCCAGAGCAACGCCTGGCCGACAGAAATCAGCCAGCATGCCCACAATGAATGCTATCCTCTCAGTTTCTTGGCAATCATACTCAAACCAGTGCACTTGATCTAAGGTTTGGTTTTGCATTTAATAAATTTGAAATCATTTATCAAACTTCATCAAATAAAAATAGTTTTAACCTAACCCAGAAAGGGTGCACACCTCTATATTTCCAGTACACAGTGGGAGGCAGGACAGTTTAGAGTTTTAGGCTATCCTAAACTACTTCATGACTTCAGGGCTAGCCTGGACTAACTACATAGTTGTCTTAGTTTGGAGCTCTTTTTTTTTTTCGTTTTTGTTTTGTTTTGTTTTTCGAGACAGGGTTTCTCTGTGGTTTTGGAGCCTGTCCTGGAACTAGCTCTTGTAGACCAGGCTGGTCTCGAACTCACAGAGATCTGCTTGCTTCTGCCTCCCGAGTGCTGGGATTAAAGGCGTGCGCCACCATCTCCAGGCTTAGTTTGGACTTCTAATGCTGTGCTGAAACACCGTGAACAAAAAGTAAGTTGGGAGAAAAGGGTTGATTTGGCTAACAACTTCTATTTTCTTTTTCATCATCAAAGGAAGTCACGGCTGGAACCTGGAAACAGGTGAGGACTCAGAGGCCATGGAGGGGTGCTGCTTACTGGCTTGCTCATCATGGCTTGCTCAGCCAGCTTTCTTATAGAACCCAGGACCACCAGCCTAGGGGTGACACCACCCACAACGGCCTGGGCCCTCCCCCATTAATCACTAATTAAGAAAATGCCCTAAAAATGAAATAAAATAAAAATAAAAAAAGAAAATGCCCTACAGCTGGATCTTATGGAGGCATTTTTTTCAGTTGAGGTTCACTCCTTTCAGATAACTGTGCTTGTATCAAGTTGACATAAAACACAATAGTTTATCAATAGAATGATGCAGTTAAAACAGTGAAGGGAAAACAATCAAGAGAGGACCTCATATAATTCAAGCTGGCTGGGATTTATCATATAGAAGTGAAAAACCTCAAATTTCTGATATTCCTGCCTTCATTTACCAAGTGCTGGGATTGCAGGCATAAACATCACATCTGATTTTATGCATTATTAGGGACTGAACCCAGAGCTTTGTGTATGCCGGGCAAACACACTATCAACTGGGCTGTATCCCCAGCTTTAGTAAGGCTGGTAGTGAAGACAAACACACACAGACCTCTCTATTTACAAACACACACGCACACACACACACACACACACACGCACACACATACGTGTGTATATTTGGACTTTTCAGAGTTACTGGTAGATCCTGACTGGGGATGAAACATTTAGTCCGACAGTTGATGTTGTGAGCATGGCCGTTGATGAGCTCATGATAACTGTTCAGGAGAACATTTAAAGCCTCCTCTGACAAGAGACATTCACAAAGCTTCCCTAGACTTCAATGATGGTGAGTATTAGTAGTCAGATTAGTATCACCCAGAAGAAGTGCCTCTGGTCCTGCCTGCAATTATATTAATTGAGGTCCGAGGACTGGCCCACTGTGAGCGGCACCATTCCCTCGCTGGAATCCTGCATTATGTAAACAGAGAAGGTGAGTTAAATCATGCATCCATTGCTCTCCGTTCTTGATGGTGGGTAAAATATGACCAGCTGCTTCGAGCACCTGCTTCCTTGACTTTCCTGCCTTGAACTGTGAGGCAGAATAAACCCACTCTTCCTATAGCTTCTTTTGTCAAAGTATTTAATCCCAGCAAAAGGGCAAAAAGCTAAGTGAACTTCTGTGTGTATCCTGCTTTATACACCAAACAGGTTTCCCCAGAATGATACAGTCAGAGGTGAAATAGAAGTAACATCGCAATAGACGGGAAGTGCTTGCTCTTAGCCGAGTTACTTCTTTGTGGTTCCATTTCATCAGCAGTGTATTTTGTATTTTAAAGTCCTGTTGCTCTACCCCAACATGAGTGACCAAACTCAGGTCCTTGCAAATGCTAGTCAAGTGATCTACTCCCGAGCTTGCACACAGCCCAGTCAGCACCACAGTTTCAGAAATTAAATGAAAAACCATATGGAGGTGCCTGGTGCAGAGCAGATGTGCAAGGAATACTTGTTTAGACTGGGTTTACATCTGTGCCCAGAATAGGCTCATTCTTCGTGCCGAGAATTTACCTTCAGCGAACACAACTGCACATAGCTGTGTGGCTCCTCCGGCGTATGTTTGGGCAGAGATCTCCACTACTTCTTCACAACGAAGTCAGTACTGCACAGCAAGTGTTACTCTGCGACAGAAAACAGAAGTGCGGTTCTGAACGGATGCCACATTTCTCTCGCATAGATTGCATCAAAGGGGATTTAAAAGAAGCACCCTGGACCGCCTCTGGGTCCAGTCACATGGGCAGAAGATGTACATTTAGAATGCGCTCACATCTTGTTGTAGATTTTGACTGTAAAAGGAGAACTTTCAAGGTAAGAGCAGCTTTCTAGACAAGGAAGTCAGTTATGCTGTGCTTGGAAAAAAAAACAGGAAACGAAACAAAACAAAACAAAACATAAAATTTGGGCTGGGGAGAGAGAGAGCTCAATTGGTAAAGTGCTTGCTGAACAAGCATGAGGACGCAGAAACCATGTTAAAAAAAAAAACCCAAGCATAGTAGTATATTTTTGTAATAACATCATTGGTGGGCAACTACAGGGAAGGAGGGTCCTGGGGGCTCCTAGCCAGCTTGCCCAGCTGCTTAGCAAGTTGCAGGCTAATGAGAGACCCTGTTTCAAAACAAACAGAAAAGCAAGCAAACAAGCAACAATAAACCAATGTGGAACAGGCTGTGGTTCACACAAGTGTGTCGCATGCTACACCCCCGTGCGTCTGTGTGCAGCACACATACAAAAGAAGCTGAATAGACAACAAGCTAACATTCAACCCGGGTCTCTGTTGACCCACATGGGAACATTTTTTTTTTCTCCCTGGAAGAAGAGGGAATGGGATCTTTCCAGAGCACTTGACCGGGATGCCCTCTGACCATCATTTCCAACCTTGTCAACAGCTATCTATGTACTTGACTAGGGTCCTTCTCTTGCTAAGCTTAACCCTCACTGTTGAGTCATTTTCCTCACAACATATCTTGCTATGCCATATGACTGTTTAGCATCTCCAGATGCCTCTCCTCTGATTGCAGAAGAGATGCTGGGCTCCTTATAATATAAAGACTTTAGTGGCCATGTACAGGCTGCCTCTCTGGCCCCATCACCACTCCCTTCTACAGCCTTCCTTCTTTACTGCTCCCTCTTTCCAATTCCCACTTCCTTACAAATACTCAGGATGTAGCACAAATGAATGATCTGTTCATGGATAAATCCCCCAAAGTTTCTTACTCTCTTCCCTTCTTAAGAGGCCATAGTTCAAAGCTGTCTATGAACTAATGATCTCAGCATGTGTCTACTAGGTCAGATGCCTTCCAAGCTTCTCTAGTTGTTTTAAACAGCACTGGATATGGAACCCAGGGTCTCACACATACCAGGCAGATGCTTTAGCACTGAGCTGCAGCTTCAGTCCCACTTCTGATTCTTGAATCCGCCTGTATACCTCCATGGCTTATTGATACTTAACTTATCTCTTAAAATATACAAAACAAACACTTTTATTCTACCCTATCTTCTCTTCCTTTCCAGTAAATCTCCTTCCACTTGGAATATCCACCTCTGTGGCCTTCTTGCCTCTTAAAAAAAAAAACCCAAAACAAACAAATCAAAAAACTTATTTATTTTGTGTGCATTGGTGTTTTGCCTCCATAAATGTCTGTGCATCATGCTTATGTAGTGTCCTTGGAGGCCAAAAAGGCACTGGATCCACTGGAACTTGAGTTAAAGATAGTTTTGAGATAGCTGTCATATGGATGTTGAATTTTGAACCTGGGCCTTTTGCAAGAGCAGTCTTAATCATTGAAAAATCTCTCCAACATCCTTTTTGCTCTTTTGAAATCCAGCCATCCATGTTCTGGCCCAGAACATCTGTTTTTGGAATTCCCTATAAAACATCTTTCTTCCATAGTCTGGTCCCCAGATCTTTTTGCCCAACTGTACTCTCTAGGAGGTATTCATTGACTTTCCTGCCTTAATTTGAAACCTATAAACCTTTTAGCACTACTTCCTACGGAACACTTTGCTTTTGGGGTGTTTCGCAATAGTATTTACAACCCACTAAAATATTTTGTGTTATGCCCTTTGCTCTGGCACCTTTCCTGGTATGTGAGCTCAATTACGACAGGGACTAGGATACTTCTGTTTACTACTGAAACCCAGATCCTAAGGCCCTTGGTGCCTGGTTCATGGAGCATCTCTGTGAATATATATTGAAGTTGGTATTAATTTTCCCTTTAAAATCAAGACTACAGAAGAAAGGAAACATCAGGGAACTAGTAAGGCCAGGAATAATCTGGTGTTTGTAAGTTCTGGTTGGATCTGTGTTCTAATTCATGTGGGCTAGACTCTAACACCAGGCCTGTGAGGAGCTCTTATTTAACTGCTCACACATGGCATGAGAAGATTCAGGCACTTCATTTGAGTGACTCTTCAGGACACATATCTACTCCTATTGTGTAGAAGTATCCTCTGAGATAAAAATCTTCTGTCTAGGAGAGAAGCTCCTTAATGCCTGGGATGTTCTTTTTTTTTTTTTTTTTTTTTTTTTTTTTTGAGCCTGTCCTGGAGCTAGCTATTGTAGACCAGGCTGGTCTTGAACTCACAGAGATCCGCCTGCCTCTGCCTCCCAAGTGCTGGGATTAAAGGCGTGCGCCACCACCGCCCGGCTCTGCCTGGGATGTTCTAAAGGGAGAGGAAACCATTCCATCCTACAGGGAAGTTTTTCAAAACCAAGGAACTTCAGGAAGTTCAAGAAACTGACTAGATTCACTGGAGTTCTCCTTCCTCAAGCATATTTAAGCAGTAAGAGCTGCTACACTATGTCCTTGTAGAAGAGATGCCTGAAAGAGGCTTCCATCAATCTGTTGAGATGCCTTCAAGTTGTACAGTGAGCTCCAGGTTTCCAACTTTTGTGAGCTGTCATCCATGCTGAGATGAGATTTTGGTGATATGCTTGTCATTTTTGTCCCTCATACAGGCTCCTGTGAGTAACCCCTGTAAAACTCAAGTTGGACTTTGGTGGTGTCCTTATTTTGGTGTGTCATTGTTTCATTGTGTAAAGTGAGTAGTCATTTGTTCACACCTTCCCAGGGATGGGGAACAAAAGAAATGCAGACATAGGAAGGCCAGTCCATCTCAAGTGCTCAGTCTATGTCAGTTGGACCACTACCAGAAGCAGCACCTGGGGCTCTTCATCTTTAGGCCAGTCCCTTTAATCTCACACTACCTTCTCAACCATTCTACACAGAGAGAATCTTAGTTGAGGACTCAGTTAGCAAATCAGAGCTAAAACCCAGGTGAGAGCTGGCATGGCTCTAGAGAGCACATCTCAGACAATAAAAAAAAAAGCCCACAATAAAACTGGCTGAAAATTAGCTAAAACACAACAAAGAGTAATGCTAACTGACATTGTTGATGATATAAAAAAATCTATTTAAAATGTATTAAATGTTTAGATCAAATTACAATTAAAATAAGCAGGCAAATGGAGACATCATCATTACCCAAATAATTATTAGAGTTCCCATTTAAACAGAACACATTTTTACTCTCACTGATTTTATTCTGGGGTCATTTCATGGTTACATTAAACATTATAAAGTATCGACTGTATCTTTACATTTTCTTCTAATTAATTACAAACACTGGAAATTTCTAAAAGATTCAGCAGATGAGGCTTAGGTAGAGTTAGATGATGGATATATAATTAAAATAGAATATTTCTGATCATTTCCCAGTTAGCTCAGGCCATTGTTTCTGAATATATCTTGATAGTACTTCAACAATGGTACCAAATGTTGTTAGCCTAACATGTAGCCTAATATTTAGTATTTAACCTGCAATTCTATTCCTCTTATTATCATATCTGTTACTAATTAAATGAATGTGGCAAAAGTCAGGATGGTTGTGATAGATCCATCATGATGGCTACTTGTTGAAATAAAGAGCGGCGGGGCTACGTCCCCAACACCCCGGCCACTTGGCTAGCTCATGCCCGAAATAACAACACACAAACTGTATTCATTTAAGAACTGCTTGGCCCATGAACTCTAACCCTTACAGGCTAATTCTCGCACCTGGACTAGCCCATTTCTAATGATGTGTGTAAGCACCCCAAGGTGCGCTTACCGGGAAGATTCTAGCCTCCGTCCATCATGGTGTCTCTGCTCCAGAGAGCAGAGCTGTTGAGTCTCCGGGAGCAGAGCAGAGTCTGACCTCACTTCCTTCCTCTTCCGCCCAGAATTCTATTCTGTTTATTCCGCCCACCTATCTTTTAACCTATCAGGGCCAGCAGTTTCTTTATTGCTCAGCCAATGAAATCAACAGATTGATATGACACTCCCACATCAGCTACTTGTCAGCTGTTCCTCAGCTGTTCCTCCCAAGCACGGAGTCTTCCCCCTTCCCTCTTGAAAGGGGGTGTCTTGTGCTTTGACTTGACAAACAGAATGCCAGGATCCCAACATCTGTCCTGCTGGGGGAGCTCTGTATCCTGAATTGGAAAATCTCATAGGAAACCTAGCTATCCTGCTGATCTTGCTATGTTTTAGAGGACGCATGCACTTTGAAAAGGGACCCATTGCCTCTCTTGCAAACATAGAAGAAAATGAAGTACCAGGTCTCAGGGAAACCCACAGATGACTGTAGTCACAATGTCATCACAAGTCTGACCAACTGAAGGCCTGTCCAGATGGGACCAGTCCACACTGGGAGCCTATGGATGGTTATTGCTTTAGGTCACTAAATATTAGTACATCTTGGGATATAGTTAAAAGTAACGGGAACGCTAGTTCTTCAATCAATTATATATTCATTGAGAAAATAGTTTCTAAATCAAATTCCAGTATTTTATTTTCAATATAAGATATTCGCTTGTATGAAATCTATCTGAAATTTCATGAACAGAGAAGAAGAAAATGTGTGTATATCCTAAAGGTTAGGCAGGAACAGCAGCATTCAGCCTGGAGCAGCATGAGAGAGTATTTATCACCCTAGAAAGTGGCTGGAGAGGCTGGTGATGGAGGGGGAGAAATGACTGTGAGCTGTGCAGAAGTAAGGACTGCTGTGACGCATGGGTGGGACTGCTTCTGGCTGGTGCTGAGAGGCTTAGGAGGATAGACATACATGTGGGCGATGAGAA